CAGCCCTGAGCTGAAAGGCACTCTCTCCGCTTCCCCGGGGCCGGACCTCCTGCTTCCTGGGTTTATATGGCTTGTGGCCATCGCAGGACCTCTCTGAGCCTCAGTTTCCTCATCTGAAAGATGGGAGTGATCGTGGCTCTTCCTCAAAGGATTCAAGAGAAAATAAAAGTGCTCGGTGCAGAGTCAAGGATCAGTAATTGTTAGGCATTATCACTGAGGGAACAACGGCTCCCCTGCAAACGTTCTTTCTCCCACATGTGAAATGGAAAAAGTCACGTCTTGCTGAGCACCTACTTATAGTTTTTGGAGTACACGAGCAACCTCAAAAAGCACTCTTTTTCCAAAAGCAGCTTCGTAAATGTACCAGTGTACCTTTAAAAAAATAATAAAAAACTGAAACTATTAATAATAATAATAATATTAATAATAAAAATAAATTACAACTTCCTGAATGCCTTCTATGTGTCAAGCTCTGGCAACAATCCTGCCTCATGGGTACTGTTATGCCCGTTTTAAGAGAAGGAAACCCATACTGCACCTTGACCCAGGTAAAGTGGGCTTTGAACCCAATCTCAGTCTGGGAGCCACACTGTGCTACCTTCATAAAGCTGGTAACTGTCTCATCAGCAGGAGCTCCCTAAATTTCCCTGATTTTCCACAGTCATAAATACACGGTAGTATTTCCAGGCAAAATTTGTGTATGTAAGTAAGCTTTGCTGTTAACAACGTTTCTTTTTTTTTTTTAATGTTTATTTATTTTTGAGAGAGAGTGACAGTGAAAGCGGGAGAGGGGCAGAGAGAGAGAAGGAGACAGAATCGGAGGCAGGCTCCAGGCTCCGAGCTGTCAGCACAGAGTCCGACACGGGGCTCGAACCCACGAACCGTGACATCATGACCTGAGCTGAAGTCGGACCCTTCCCCGACTGAGCCACCCAGGCTCCCCAACACCCTGAGATTCGGGTCCGAATCTTGTTTTCGCCTTTCATCCTCCCGAGTCCCACCCTCAAGGCGGACTCCCTAGAACTCCCTCGGGACCGTGTTTCTGGAGAGGGACAGCTCTCTTGATCACAATGACATCTGGCACAGAGCTTTGTAGGAAGCAGGTTCTCCATAAATGCGATTTGAAACCGTGCAAATCACTACCGTGGTGGTCTTTAGAAAGACAGGAGGAAAACCAAAAGCAGTAATACTCATTTTGTTCACGTAGCCATGCCGTGGAGAATGGGTAAAGGGCCAATTCGGACCGTATGACAGCGGGAGCCCAGAATACAGATACACACAGCACTGCCCTCCCGGCTGTACCCAAGTAACTGGAAATGCCCCTTAAGTTTTCTGATGGCTCACCTTAGCAAACGTTGAGGATCCTGGCTTCTACCGGACACTACGGCAGGTGCCGTGGCTGGGGATGAGCCAGCAGACGAGCACTAGAGGAGCTCATTTCTCCTGGGGCAGAGGTGCACGAAGGCGAGGGCCGACCGAGCCAGGATGGACAAATTTCTGCGCGGTATATGGAAAACCATTTTTGCAGTTGCCAACTAATCATTGCTTACGACGGTTCATTTTTCCTAGACCCCTAGAGAACTTCAGGGTGGTTGGGATTTTTTTTTATGTATCGCCCCTTTCTCACTGGGTGTCCGAGTGGCTCAAGACCAATTTTAACAAAGTCCTGAAAAAGACTCCACCGTTTGGAGAGGGGTCAAATGGTAAGAATAAGTTACGAATCATCCCAAATTTCATCGCATCGTAGATTCGGACTGGTGACTGTGCACGGCGAGAAGCCGAAATGACAACACACACGTGGAACAAAAAAGCGATTCGAGCCCCAAGTTCATGACTAAACAGACATCTTGTCTCTCCCATCTGCTCCGTTGCCTTCCACGGCGACTTATTTTCATCCGTTCCTCCAAGGAGATAGGAATAAACTTCGGGACTTCCGCCGTGCCCTTCACCCCAACCCAGGCAAAGCACATTTATCTTCTGAGGCTATAATGGGTCTCGTTTTCCATTATTCGAGTTTGCTCTCCACGAGTGGCACATGGCGTACAGAACGCTTCCCGGATGTACAGTGTAGTCATTTGGAGCTTCTCCATTATCTCCAGGACCATTAATTAAATAGGCTCATTAATTAAATCATTCTGCAGTTTCAGAGCAGCATTAGCACGGAGCCTTGACCGGAAGGGGGATGAGTGGTGTCAGTGGAGACGGGGGAATCTCAAAAACAGATGTGGGGGGGGGGGTTGGGGGTGAGGGGTGGGGGCGGGGGCGGGGCGTGAGGACGGAGGTGACAGTGAGGATGACACCCCGGAGGTACGGCACACCTATGATGGAGATGTAGAGAGTCTCCTCCCCACCTCCCCACCTCTCCAATATTCTCCCCAAAGCTCTAGGAGGTGTGTCCCCACCAGGGGCGAAGCGACACTCAGGGCTCTGCCTCCCCCGCTCCTGAGGCAGAGGGACGCTAGCTGGGAGCTCAGCTTCCACTCTAAGGGCCTCCTCCGCACCCAGTCAAGACCAAATCCTCACATCCTCTTTCCTGCACACAAATCCAACAACGTCCCACCCGAAGTGTCCCCCCACCATGAACTCCATGCTCCTCTCTCACATCTGCACGGCTGCTACTGGGGGGCCTTCTGGATGTTGCCCCGTGCACCTCGCCCCTCAGCAGGAGGTCTGGGGAACAGGCATGGAGGTCCCCGTGAGACCAGGGACCCGGGTCGTCCCCTGGGTCTGTTCTGGCAACCAGAAAGAGAGGAAGCTTTGAGGCCCAGGTCAGTTATTTGTGATGCCGAGGCCAGGAAAAATACCACGCGGGGTGTTTTCTGCTTGGCCCCGGGGTCCCTAGCGGCTCTGCTCCTCCCTTTGGAACTGCCCCATGACTTTTGACCCCTCTGGTCCACACTGTGCTCTCCCCTGTCCTGTCTCAAGGGTACTTCCTGTCCTCAACATTCCCTCGCTTGGAACTTCTTCATAGGCAGCCTTGGGACATCTCTTGTGTTGTTCTTTCGCTGCTACAGTAGGGCTTTCCCCTTGGGATGCGGGATGCCTTATTCCCATGGGATTTGGGCTCAGCTCCTTAGAGGCAAAGGAGCCCCCTCCCTGCGCAGAGCGGAGATCCCGGCAGGCTGTGGGCATAGCGGTAACTAGCACAACTGTGGTTTTCATGTCCTAACCTCCGAAGGGAAGATGTATGGTTAGAAGCAGGAATGGCCGATGATAGAACTGCTTTAGTTCTGTGCTTGCGAATCAGCAAGGAGGAGTAGGCACTTTTTCAAACATAATAGAATCCAAAACTATATTATTTTCCCTTGATTATTGCGATGCTGCTTTAGGCATGAACTATCTAATTTGGGGGTTTTTAATTTTTTTATTTTAAAAAAGTGTCTTTTAATGTTTATTATTTTGAGAGAGACAGAACGCGAGTGGGGGAGGGGCAGAGAGAGAGAGGGAGACACAGAATCCGAAGCAGGCTCCAGGCTCCGAGCTGTCAGCGCAGAGCCCGACGCGGGGCTCAAATCCACGGATCGCGAGATTGTGACCTGAGCTGAAGTCGGATGCTTAACCGACTGAGCCACCCAGGCGCCCCTTGAACTATCTGATTTTTGTAATCCCTCAATGCCATTTAGCACAGGTAGTCACCCCAGGTAGACACCCCTCAAGTGCAGGGAAGAATGATGGTAACAGCACAGATGTGGACACAGGGATCCCTGGAAGGCAGGGTAATGGTCTGAAATGACCAGAAGCTACATATGTGTCCCTTCCTCTCTGTCGCTGCCAATCAAGGACCTCTAACTACTCGGAACACCTCCTTTCCTTATTCTGCGGAAGTGACATTGTTTCATCGTAACTTCCCATCACTGTCCCTTGGCATCAAAATCAACGCATGCAGCTCGTATTATTCAAGTATTTACTGAAAACTGACCACTCTGTGCAAGCTGGAGGCCAGAAGCTTGGGATACAAAGTCATAAAATGCAGTTGCAATGGAGGTGACAAGCAGCTGCATGGTGTGGCTGGGTTTCACACAAATGCTACAGGGAGACAGAGAGACGGCACCCCGGGAGCTGAGCCCAGCACAGGACTTAGGGCTTGAAAAATGAGTTTGTGATCTTTTCGGGGGAGAAGAGGCAAATGTATTCAAGGCACAGGGACTGGTTCGTGCTAAGGCAGGAAGCGTGACAGAGCCTTGTATGTATTGAGAACGGCAGACCGTTCTGTTGAATGGGCTTTCAGTGTGTGTGTGTGTGTGTGTGTGTGTGTGTATGGGCGCGCGCTTGAAGGAGGGGATGATAAGGCTGGAGAGGTGGTAAATGATCTCGATGCCATGCCTCATTTATATTTGACCCAGTAGATAAGGGGAAAACAGCTGAGTTTCTTTAGCCATGAAAATAAAGAGATTAGGGTTGGTTTTAGCCAGGTTGTCCTGATGTGAAGAAAGCATGCGAGGGGTGTCATTCCAGAAACCAAGAAACCAGTCTCACCTTCCCTGCCAGTCTGGGCGACACCTGTACAGGCCTAGATTGTGGCAGAGTGACGCTTTAGAGAAAAAGAGGGGAATGGACCCTTCAGATGCCCTGTTAGATGTGAGGGTCCGGGAGGCAGAGCAGGAAGAATTTTTCACCACTCTGGGTAGGGTGCGGTTACTGACCTAAGGCATTTTTAGTTTTTAGAACAGGGTGGAGAGGATAAACGAGCATTTGCACCAACAAATAAAACTGTTACTCTTGTTTGTAATTTTGTAGCACCAGCGGATAATGAACCCCTTTCCCTGAAAATCACATGGTGTCAATTTCATGCCTGTGGCAAAGCGCCCTAATTAAAGACATCCTACAGTTGCTCAAGTCTTTCCTCCTGCACATTCTTTCCTTTCTCCCACAACAGATCCCCCTACATCAACCCCCTTACCGCAAGACACCAACAGGAGTTCAGACTGAGGGCAAGTGTGGAGCCGTTCTGGGCTCTGGTGCAAGTATGATCTATAAAAAGACATTTAGAAAACAAGGAGCCATGTTGCCATTTTGCCTTTAATGGAAAAGTGGCTAGCAGTTACAGTAAAAAAAAAAAAAAATTTAGTTTAATAAAAAAAAACAAACTATCCAACTTCTAGGCAATCACTGAATTTTCAGAAACACACATACACTCGAAAACCAAGGTCTGTATAAAAATAAACTTTGAATGTGCGGCTAAAAAGGGAGATCCCCAGTCTTTTCGGCTGCACAAACGCTCAGTAAAAAGGAGGCAAGTCTGGGTGAGCCGGGTTCACCCCAGCGCAGAGGGGGCTTTGACTTTGGAAGACAGAGCCTGCTTGAAGCGCCTCTTGAGGTCTTGCATGTTGGGAGAGCGCGGCCGGGGAATGATGGAGGCTCTCCTCCTCTCCCCGCTGACGCCGTGCGACTTGCTCACCTCTTTGCAGAGGTGCTGAAACACATCGCAGACGTCCTCGTAGTTTTCACTGGTGGAAATTTCAAGGAACAGGCTGCCCAGCTCGTTGGCTAGTTGAACGCCATCACGCGTTTGCACCTGCCGGGCATGCAGAAGGTCCCCCTTGTTGCCCACGATGACGACGGGGACCCTGGCGTCAGGGTGGACCTTCCGGATGTGCTGGTAGAGGGGGCGGATGGCCTGGTAGCTGTCGTAGTCCGTGATGGAGTAGACCAGCAGAAAGCCGTCTGCCCACTGCACGCACCTGGACAGAGGATCAGCTACCTGGAGGAGGTTGTCTTGGACCTGAGAAAGATCAACTCGAGTCTGGATCAAGGAAGCCCGCAGAGGGAGCGGACTCAAAATAAGATCAAAGGGACCCTCGGGAAAACAAGTTCGAAAAAGAAATCGTAAGTACAGTCTTCAGACTCCACCTAGCTTCTGCGGAAGGCGGCTCTGGCTGCGGGCAGAACAAATTCTCGGGCCAGCTCCCTGCCTGGGTTATTTTATTGGCTGCCACTAATGCTTTCGGCCCCCTGCTTGGCAGGTATTCTGTGGTGAGCCCTGGCTGACTGAAGGATGACTTCAACGAGAACTTTCAAATTAGCATGGCGCAATCTTTAGGGAACTGGGAATAAACAAAACTTTGAAAACAAGCCAAGATAAATATCTTCCCAAGCCCATAAAAATATTTTTAGCATGCCCTTTTTGAGAATGTTACAGAAACAAATTCCTTCTTTCTGTTCTTCCACTAGACCTTGCCTCCCTAGAAGGGAGCGCAATTAATAACTTGTTAATCAAGTTAAATTCCTGACTGCTTGCCAAGGGCTTATCTGGTTGCAATTACTAACTTGAGGGAACAGTTAAGAAGCACGTCAGCAGTCCCTGCTAGGGGAGGAGCCCCTCCCCAGAATCCCACCCCAATAATTTTGTTAACGGTTTCCTGGCCCAGTTCTGGAAGCTGGGGAGGACCCATCCCTACAAGCAGTGATGCCCCACTAGGGTTGTAAAGAAAGGTCACGTATCTCTCTCCTTTGAAGGTGACGGACACCAGGATGCTGCCTCCCTAACCATCCACCCACCCTGCCCGAGCCCCCAGGAGGGTTTCTAAGCCTCCACCTGGGGACAGCCCACTTCTATATCTAAAGGCAAAACGGGTGTGTTTAGACATCCTGCTCAAGCCTGGGAGCCCTCCCCCGCCCCCGTGTGTGCAAGGTGGTGAGCTGTTTGCTTCGGGCAGTCCTTACCTGGATGCCCCCGGGGGTGTCCTGAATCTGCAAGGATAGCTGGTCCCCCTCTACGTAGACGAGCCGTGAATACAACTTGCCTGGAGAGTGAAGGAGAGTTTGCTTTTAAATTCCTAGCCTCCTATCAGGAGAAAGAAAGCCGGAGCTCGGAGCATGCAGCCACGGAAGCAGAGAGCACGAAATTATTCTAACCTGTATTCGGTTCATAATCGCCGATGAATCTCTTGGTGAGGAAGCGCACGATCATTGCTGAAAGGGAACCATGGGGAAGTCCGCTAAACGACTGGAACCAAACAGTCACCCCGGACGCTCTCGAGGAAAAGGAGGGGGCGATGGGCCGCAGGACAGCGGGTACTGCCCCAGTCCTACGGCTCTGCAACACCCAGGGTGCGGCCGTCGCGGTCTCCCGCGCGTCGGGGTGTGACTGCAGGTGCCCGGCCTGCCGCACCAGTCCCCCCCCCGCCATTCTCCAGCAGGTGCCAACCCGGGCGGGAGGGAGCCCTGGAGTAGACGCCCCGGGGAAGCAGCGGGAAAAGCGGGCTGGCGGGGGAGAGCCGGGGCCCGCGCCGAAACTTCCAGGTTTCTCCCCGCGCTCCACCCCGCCTCCCGCCGCTCCAGAGCTCCGGCTCTTCCCCGAAGCCCGGTTCCCCCCTTCCCGGCGCGGCCCCCCGGGCACTCACCGCTCTTGCCCACGCGGCCGGCGCCCAGCACGGCCAGCTTGATGTCCTTGGGCGGGAGGCAATCGGAGGAGGACTCGGGGATGGGCGCGAGCAGACAGTGCCCGGACATGCTGGGCGGCCGCATGGAGGGCGCGCCGGCCGAGCGG